GCAGAGAAAAAATGGACAGAGTGAGAACACTCTCTCCTTTTGTGAAGAAAAGAGTGTGTCTACCAGCTGACCAGCAGCACTCAAGCAGATTAGTCCCTTGTTCCTGAGAGACACCCTGCTGAGTGAACTCTTAAAGGCTGGGACCAAGCTTCAGTTCCCACAGGAAAGAGGACAAGGGATGGGGGGAGGGGGAACGACACATGTAAGTCCTGGGCCTTGGTGTTCTGCTACAACTGAGAAAAAAGTGAAAAACAGAATGGTGATTAAATGAGAAAAGTACAGTGCTGACTGGTGTGCTGAGACACCTTTAAACCTTAGCTTTTTCCCCAACAAAACCAAAAAACCAAACTGACTCCCACCAAGTTGATTCCAACTCACAGCAACCCCCACTGGATTTCTGAGGTTGTAAATCTTTATGGAAGTAGATTGCCCCATCTTCCTCCCACGGAGCAGCTAGTGCGTTTGAACAGCTGACCTTCTGGTTAGCAGCCAAAAGGCCTTACCCACCATCCCACCAGAGCTCCTTTGTAACAATCCTCGTTTTAACAGGTGCCTTATGGCAGAAGAACTCAGCAGAAGGACTGACCACTCCTGGTGCGGCCTGAAGGGTGTTTTGGTGCAGGTTTTGTTAGCTGTTGCCAAGCTGACACCATCTATCATAGCACACACCAAGTAAAAAGGAGGAAAAAGCCCTGTGATGAGGTAGACCAGCAGAATAACATTAACAGGGGGAGGCACAATGGACAAAGAGAGACTTGGGTCTAGAGATGATTCTATGACTTCTGATGACCTTAGCTACTCATCATAAACTCAAAAAGCAAAGTTGGACCCCTAGCAGACCCCAAGATGCCCATGACTCAGCAGTTCAGGAACATACCAGACCTTTGCTGTCACAAGCTCCTATCTCAGTGGGGAGATAGAAACAGTAAACGCATTGTAATAAAGAGTGAAAATTATGGAAAAAATGAACCACTGTAGGAGGATCAAAGAGTAGAGTGAGTGGGTGGGATTTTACATAGAGTGATCTGAAACACTTCATTAAACCATTTTAAATAACATCTAAGCAAACATTTAAAAAGAGATATCCATCCGCTATCCATCTCCTCACCAATTCAACAGTAACTGAGCACCGACCAGTGACAAACACTCCTGTAGGACCTGGGGACACAAGCTAACTCAAGACAAGGCCCTTGGTCTCATGGAGCTCACAGGCAGTCAAAGAAGACAGAAAACAAAAGGACATAACAGGCTGGAGTTTTCACTTCTTGGACTGATGTAGGGCTATTGAGATTTTCTATTTCCTTTAGTGTCAGTTTTGGTAAGCTGTGTATTTTTTAAAAGACATTTGTCCATTTAAGTTGTTAAATTTATTGGCACAAAGTGATTCATAATATCCCCTTATCTTTTCAATGTCTATAGTATATGTCTTGATGACCCCTCTCATTCCTGATACCGATGACTTGTGTCTTCTCTCTTTTTTCTTCATCTATCTAGTGAGAGATTTGTTAATTTTACTCATCTTTTCAAAGAGCCAAACTTCAGCTAGGTTAGTTTTCTGTATTGCCTGCTGTAGAGTTTACTGATTTCTGCTCTCAACTCTTTCTTTCTACTGACTTTTGACCACCATTGCCTGTCCGTTTGTCATACTGAGGTGGTTTGTGTACTCCTGTGAGGCTGGAGGCTATGCCATCACTATTTCAAACCCCAGCAGGGTCACCCCACAGTGCACAGGTTTCAGTAGAGCTTCCAGACTAAAACAGACTGGGAAGAAAGATGGGGCCATTCACTTCTCTGAAAGTTAACCACTGAAAACCTTAGGAATGGTAGTGAAATGCTGCCTGATATAGTGCCAGAAGATGAGCCCCTCAGGTCAGAAGCAATCAAAGTATGACTGGTCCATACAAGTGGGACATCACAAAGGCAGGGCGAGGGGAACAGTCCACACAGGGAGATGAGAAACATGACGAGCAAGTGCAAGGTGTGAGTCTCAACTGGACCTGAATCCGAAACAAAGTCAACAAAAAGTGCTTACTAAAGCCCATCTGGAGACAGATGGGAGGGTTTTCATGTGGACTCTATGCTAAATGACATTACAGAATCGATGTAACCATGATGAGCAACTGAGTGATTTTCAGGTTACACAGAACAATCTCTGCATCTACCTCCTAGTGTCGCGAAGTCCGCAGCTTCCTTTTAAATGGTTCTGGGATGCAATCCCAGCTACAGAGAGAGGGACAGCAAATGTGCCACAATGTTAACATCAGCTGACTGGAGGTGAAAAACATGAAGGTGCTCATTCCACTGTCCAGTGGACTTTGTGGACATCAACCATGGTAAAAGCTGGGTTCTGAAAATGCAAAGACAAAATGCACAGAAACCGTGTCATGACTATCAACAAGACAAGAGAGAAGACTAAGTGACCAGCGTCAGGAAGGAACAAGGACACTAGCGCCTGCACGCAGGCAGCGAGAAGCTAACAGGAGGCATTCGGAAGCACCACGTGCCAACGACTTGGAATACTTAGCGGAAATGGGCAGCTCCCTCCATAACTAAGTTAGCAAAGCTGTCTCAAGGCCAACAGAAAACCCAAATCACCCTTAATTCATGAAGGAAACTAAGTTCACAGTCAAAGGTCTCTCCAAAAACACAGTATCAACTCAGAGAGCTCTATCTGTAAATTCCACCAAACACTCAGAGAACAAGTGTTTTAAATCCTGCAGAACAATCCCAGTGCATGCCAACAGAAGAAACATCCGTCAGCTGACTCCAAGGCACGGTAATACTGACCACCCAAAGCAAACAGAGATGGCGAGGAAGGAAAATTCCAGGAACGTCTCACTCATGACCACGGGCGCAAAAACACTAAGCAAAATACCAGCAGGTGGAATTAAACGACACAAAACCGAAAACCCACTGCACTGAGGCAATGCCGACTCCCAGCAAACCCTTACCACATAAGAAACAGATAACTTATGACAAATTGTGCTCTTGAGAATTAAAGGTGTGCTTCGTAACAGAAAGATCACAGAATACCACTCTGTGAGTTGCCTGTTTGAAGAAGAAGTCATGTGATGATTTTAACACACACACATGATGCTTGAGAAAAGTCAACATCTATTCATGATTTAACAAAACAAACTTGGAAAAGCAGGAAACTTTCTCAATGTGCTAAAGGATATTTGTTTTTGCCAAAAGGCCACTGCGACCATCAGACATGGGACAGTGAGGGTATCTGCTTTACTAGAGGGTGAGGCCAGGCTGCCCACAGTCACTGCTCCACTCTCCGGGGTGTCAGCCAGCACAGGAAGGCAGGACCGATAAATAAAGGAGACAAGACTGGAAAGGAGGAAATAAAGTGGTCACCATTTGAAGATGGCATGATAGTGTACTCAGAAAACCCAAAAGCATGGGCAGATAAGTGATGAGAATCAGTCAGAGAGGTCAGTGAGATGAGCAGATATAACAGAAAGTATAAAAAGTCACTGCCTTTCCACGTACCCCAATAAAAAAGAGAGAACGCAGTTCTCACAATGAATGAGCAGCACCAAAAACATAAAGGACCTCAAAGACAATCTAACAAACGATGCACAAACCATGAAGAAGAAATGATGAAACTACACTGATGGGCACTGAATACGCGTGGAACCAGCACTGTCCAGGGGCCAACCTGCCCTCAATACCCCACCCATGTGATATAACACTAAGGGTATGCACATAGAACTCAGCAAGTTGATTTAATATTTTCATGGAAGATCAAAGGGCCAAGAATGGCCAAGATACCGCTACAGAACAAAGAAGGGGCACTAATCTTCCCAAGTGCTAAGGTTACCGAACACCTGCACTCCTCAGGACTGGTGACCGGGCAGATGGTAAGGATTACCAAACACCTGCACTCCTCAGGACCGGTGACCGGGCAGATGGTAAGGATTACCAAACACCTGACACATCAGGACCGGTGACTGGGCAGATGGTAAGAATTACCAAACACCTGCACTAGTCAGGACTGGTGACCGGGCAGATGGTAAGGATTACCAAACACCTGCATGCATTAGGACCGGTGACCGGGCAGAGGTAGACTGACAGAACAGAGCAGAGCTCTGAAGTAACCTCACACAACACGGAAACTGACTCCTTCAAAGTCAGTGTTAATGGTAACAGAAGAGGTAGAATCTATTTGGAGAGAAAAAATGAACTGGACCCTAACACTAGACCCAAACATCAGTTGCAGAAAGATCAAGGACCAAACACACAAGTTCAGACAGCAGAGTGACTTTCCGACCATGAGTAAAGAAAACCAACTTAAACAGGGGACAGGATGTGATGTGGGTGGTGGGGCACGCCCAAAGGCTGGGAGGGACACCACAACCCGTGAAGCGTGAGGAAGGCTGTCACCTTCCCAGACTCTCACGTGCAGCCTTTTGCTCAAGAACCATGAGAGCCTCTAGCGATTCTGCCCTTTACAGAGGGCCAGGCTGTGGCTCAGCCAGCAGGGCCAATTAGCCCTGGCTCTTTGGAATACAGAAAGCAGTTCATTTTCAAAGAAAATCAATGATACCCAAAGGAAGATTTTGACAAAAGTGAAAAATCTTGCAATTGTTCAAACTAAAAGGTAGGTATCTGTGAGGTCTTTCTTCAAAGAACTACAAACATCTCAAGTCTTCACAGCAGCCAAAGGGTATCACTCAAGCCTGACTCACGGCTTCCCAGACAATCCATCCACACACTGTGCAGCAGAAGTGAATCTGTGTCTCAGTGTTTTCCAGATTTGTCACTGATGTGGACGTGACTCCCAAACTCCCCCAAGATAAGAAACACACTACTGCCCCTACTCCATCTCACTACGTTTTGTTTTTATAACACACTGAACACTAGTTGGTCTGATGAAGTGAGAACCAACATCAGACACGTGATGACCAGGACCCACAACTGGCCATCCAATGTACAATCGTCCAGCAGAGAAAGAGGGGACCTGGCTCCTGGAACCATGACAGTACACCCACCTTGTTGAAGACCCAGATCTCGCCGTTCACAGTGGGCCGGGGCACCCCGTGGCCGTTGTAGTGGAAGAGAACCCGTTCCTCCTTGGCATTTCGGCGCAAAGATGTGCAAAGCTTCTTGACTTCATCCACAGTCGGGTCAAGGCTCTGCTTGTACCGGGCCTGTCACAGGAGAAGAAAGTAAGAAACTTACAGTGGAGCCATGGAAACACCAGGACACGCAGTCCACTCTCTGTCCTGAGTCTGCATTTAATAGCTGTTAACCCTGGACAAGGGACCAAACTTCTCTAGCTATACAACCAGAACATTTATGAATACATTAAACACCACTGAATTGTTCATTGTAAAATGGTTAATTTTACAATTCACCTCAATAAAGTATTTTTTATAGAACTGGAAGAATAACTACTTTATAAGGTGGTTGTGAAATCTGCTTATAAATTCATTCAACAGAGATTCACTGAAGGCTACCACGACCATCTCAGGAGAAATGCACCAGCATGCTCCTTGGAAGCAAGACCTCCTCCTCCTTCGGATACATCACCAGGAAAGATTGACTGCTAGAGAAGGACCCCATGTGTGGTGAAGTGGGGCGTCCGTGAAAAGGAAGGAGCCCCTCCCCGACAGAGACGGACACACAGCCTCAACAACACGCTCAAACACATCAGAGATCATGAAGACTGTCAGGACCACGTGAGGCTTCATTCTGGGCAACATTTTTTATGGACTCTGTTATCCCAATTGGCCAAGATGTCCCCAAGACTATGGTCCTAAGCACTAAAGTCCAATGACTCGGCCCTTCCAGGTCTTTGGTTATGTCTTACAAGTTTGTACAACTCTGCCCCCTGTATGCTCAGAATTTTTTTTATTTTATTTTTATTGTGATTTGGGCAAAAGTTTACAGGGTAAACTCACTTTCCATACAGCAGCTCACATACACTTTGTCTCATGACATTGACTGGAATCTCCCACAATGCAACAGCTCCCCCCCACTTCCTCCCCGTGGTTACCTCCTCCCTGGCTCCTTCCCTCCGTGCACTCCCGCCCCGTCTCCCTGTGCACAGCCCTTCTTCCTCCTGTGACATACGCTCAGAAATACTTTTGATGTCATCATGGCGGCTGCCTTTTACTTGGCGTTACTGTTGCCTTTACTCATTTACCTCGACTGTTCGCTGCATTGCTGTTGTGCTGCTGCTCTTAGTTGCCAGGGAGTTGTCTCTGACTCATGGCGACCTCACTGTGGCTGTGTGCCTTGGGTCAGCCTGCCCCCCCCCATAGGACAAACGGGCCATGCAATTCTGCTTAGGGCCACAGGGCACAGATGCATGTGTTGCTCACGGGCATGATCACGCTCAGCCTCTCCTGCATCAGCAACCCCCTCAGGCCGACCTTCCCACCAGCCTCACACACACTACCGCTCTTCCATCCGACAAAACCCCTCCCTTGACCCCACTCCCCCAAAGCTGCCACCAAAGTTCTTGGTCTAATTTGCAGTTATTTCCCCATAAAACACCTAAATTCACTGTATCCAATTCTTTGCTACTTTCTCTCAAACTTCCCCCAATGTGTTGTGCCCACAACCCCACTTAGGAAGAACAGGACAATATGCTGTGTGGCTAAGTCAACGGCCCGCTTCCAGTCTTCAACACTTTGGCCTTACTGTCAGCACTAGGACCACCTTCGAAGTCCCCTGCCAGCCCACCTCCCTGCACCTGAGGCCCTCGTTCCCCCTTCCACTTCCCGGCAGAGTGAGATGAAGGAACAGGGCTATATGCTGACCTACCTTCCCTCCACCCTGTTACCACCCTCCAACCCAGAGCACACCAGCTGGTGCCTTGGCACCACTCAGCCTGCCTCTGGAGATGTAAGCAATGGCTTTGACCCTGTCTCCCTCCAACTTACCCATTCCCCTGCCCGCCATCCCTGCCTCTTGGGGCTCCTCTAGCCTTTTAGGACTCAGTTTTACTGAAATACAGTTTATGCACAATAAAATTCACACATTTGAACTGCTTAGTTTGATGACTCTGGTAGCATAGTGGCTAAGGCATTTGACTGCTCACCAGAAGGCTGGCGGTTCAAACCCACCAGCCACTCCTCAGAAGGAAGGTTGGGCAATCCTACTTTCGTAGTGATACTGCCTCGGAAACCCAAGGAGGGGTCGCTATGAGTCAGGGCCAACTCGACGGCAAATAACAACAACAACAACAGTTTGATGAATTTTAACAGCTGCATACAGTCTGAAGCCGAGAAGCGGTCAAGATCCCGGGTACCTGCAGAGCCCCAAGCACTGGGGGCGCGCTGCCGTCAGTCCTCCCCAAGCCTGGAGCCCGGCACTGGTGACCGGCTCTCTGTCCCAGAGTCGTGCCCTCTCAAGAAGCATCCAGAGATGGAGCCCTAGCATCAGCCCAGCCGGTCAGAAAGAACGCTTACTCAAGCATAAAGGGATCCGCTGAATTAGCAAGACCTGAAGGTAACGTACAAAAATCAAGAACCGTTATGGAGATACCCGAGCAACAAGCCGGAAGAGGACACAGTGCTCGGGAAAACCCAGCATAAAGCAACACCAAGAAGCCTGGGTACCTAGGAAGGAGCTCAAGAAGCCACTGCCGTGGAACCGATCCCGACTCACAGTGACGGTACAGGGCCAAGTAGGACGCCCCACAGGGTCCCCAAGGCTGTCATCTCTATGGAAGCCGACTGCCACACGTCGCTCTCGCGGAGCTGCTCGCGGGTTTGAGCTGCTGTAGCAGCCGAGCAATAAACCACCGCACCACCAGGGCTCCTTAAACTTAAGAAGAAAGGTACAAAACCTAGACAAGGAAACTGACTCCCCTGAATAACACGGATACAGACTTGAACCAGAAAGGTGTCTGGCGCCCAGAACACAACTTGGCGTTTTCAAGACGGCCACTCCCACAGGTGAATGCCACACATTCCCGGGAAAGACCCCAGAAGCAAGGTTCTGGGGTTAGACAGGCAGCTTCTGACATTCACGTGGAAAAATCAGCAGGAGAGCGGCCAGGGGACAATGACAAAGGGCAGCTTCGAGGAGCCCCGACCGGCCACCCAGGCCTCCCCTGGAGGCCCTAACCAGAGCGGTGAGGTTCTGGGACTGGGCAGACAGGCAGAGCAGGGACCGGAGGCTTCATTAAAGTCACGTGCGTGCCGACGGAAGCTGGGGCACGGAGGGCAGACCAGGGAGGGGACATGCTGGCAGAGGGGCTCCTATCTACATCATCTGACGACAAAGAACATTTACGGGTCCATGCCCATAAAAAAGAAGAGAGATCTCCAACCACACTGGACGGCAGAGCAGAAGTGATGAGTTTAAACACTGGAGGAAGGCCGCACCAGTGTCTGCAACACGCTCTTTAAAACCATGGCAGCACCTACTTGAAGGGACGGGCTGACAGTCACGCTCTGAATTTTTAAAAAACCACCCAGACGCATATTACTTTAATAAACCTTTTACATTTTATTTTCAAAAGGAAGTAAACGTAGCCAGTGCCAAGGTGCTACTCAAGAGAAAAAGATTGGTAAGGAGGAGGAACATGAACGGGGAGCTGGCACAGGGGGCAACACTCACTCGTGTGTTGTCGGCACACATCTGCCGTGTTGTTCCAAAAGAAATGGTGGCAGAAAACAGTCTGGCGCCTCCTGGAAGAGTCAGTCATCACAAGACCCACCAACTGCACCCCAGAAGTCTGCCCAGAGGGATGAGAGTAAGCTCTCAGACAAACACACAGGCACGGACCCGAGCCTTGCAGCAGCACTGCTCACACAGTCAACAGAGAGGAGCCGCCCCCCGCCCCCACCAACGGGTAAAGGCGTGAACAAGACAGGGCCCGTTCACAGTGGGAAACGTGAACACAGCCCCAGGGAGAATGAAGCACCCACGCGTGCTACGACACGGACGGCCGCAGGAGACGTGGTGAGAGAGAGCAGCAGGCGCAAAGGCCACGTACTGCAGGAGTCCACGGACACAGAACGCCCCGAAAGGTAAACCCAGGACCGTGAACAGACCGGCGGGCGTCAGGGGCTTTGGGGGGAAGGAAATGGGGAAAGACAGCCCCACGGGCGTGGGGTCTCCAGTGGGGGTGACGGAAACACGTTAGAACTAGACAGAACTGGGGACTGCATGCACCGTGAGCGGACTCAAGGCCCCGAATTAGTCAGTTTACCATGGTTAGTTTTATGTTTTAGGATCTCCACCTCAATAACACCACTTCCGGGAGGGGTGGGGAGGGGAAGAGGAGAGGGGACAGAAGAGAAAAAGCAGAGAGGAGAAAACGCGGGGAGGCCAGGAAGATGGAAGGGTGACACACTGCTCGTGCTTAAGGAACGTTCCAAAGCTATCAAGAGAAAAGAAAGAGGTGCACGGACAAGGGGGCCCAGGAAACCGAAGGCCTCCCACACCACGCTCTCCCTTTGTCCATGACACACTATCTGGCTTCCTCTGAGCAACACATATTAATACCGTCATTTACGACAGTATAAAATCCTGATGATACACTCACTGTATCTTCTACTCTGAAACCTGGTGTGTGGGGGGGTGTATTAAGATGGAAGGCTTGGCAAAATGAAATTGGAAAAAACAAAACAAAACAAAAATGCTTTCCCAACTTCCCTAAGTTCTGGCATCTGTAAGCAAAAGCCACCACAGAATCAGGAACCACTCCAAGGACAGTAGTCCTAGCCCCCTGTGGGGCACTTTTAGAGCCCTGCCCTGGAATGGGAGGAGTTTTAGTGGCACTGTGGTTAAAACACTGGGCTACTACCCAAAGTCGCGGTTTGAACCTACCAACCGCTCTGCAGGAAAAAGATGAGGCAGTCAGGTTCCGTGAAGGTGACAGTCTTTGAAGCCCCTATGGGCAGTTCCGCTCTGTCCTCTAGAGGCGCTGTGGGTGGGAATCAACTTCACCGTAGCAGGTGGGGTTCGGCTCGGCTCTGGAGTGGGCGTCTTTTGGGGTCTCGCAGTACTCTCACCCTCCCCTGCCAGGGTTCCCTCCTCAAAGCCCCGATGCTACTGGCCAAATAAGAGTGTCAGAGAGATGGCCTGGACACAGGGACACGTGAGAGGCAATTCTGCCAGCCATCCTGTCAGCAGGCGGCGTGCATTAATTCAACAGCAGAGTGGCTGTGGCCCGGCCCACGGGTGCTCG